CCGCCGCCCAGGGCTGCGCCGGCGCCCTCGCTGCTTTCGCCCAGCGGACCCGCGGGCCGCAACACGCCGCCGACCGTGCACGTGGCCAGCCCGGCCCCTGCTGCCGCGGCAGCTGCCGCGCAGCTGCGAGGCGCCTCCAAGTCCCCGTCCACACGGGCGCCGCCCCGGTCGTCATCGCCGCCGCCCCGCAGCGCAAGCTCCCAGAGCTGCTTATACAATGCAGTGCCCCACACCTGCGGGCTGCGCCCCGGGGCCGCCTCGCGCGGCACCCGCGGCGCGGCGGCGCCGGGAGGCAGGACCCTTTGCGGACAGGGTGCGTCGGAGCCTGTCGCTGCCGCTGTGGGCGGGATGCTTGTGTGGCTGGCCGTGGCAGCACCCTGGTCTGCGTGAGAGGCATCCGTCTGAGCAGGTGCCGCCTGAGCAGGCGCCGCCTGCAAGAATGCTTGCTGCTGCTCTGGCTCCAAGGGTGGTTGCTCCTGCAGCAGTTGCTGTGTCGCACGCGCCAAGCTTTGCCCTGGCTGGCAGGGGACTGGCTCCTGCCCTCGCTGCTGCTGCTGCTGCTGCTGCTGCTGCAGCTCCTCATTTTGCTGCCTCTGCGGCAGCAGTGGGCCTTTCTCGCACACGTCCACCCCGGCGCCCACCACTTGCCGCACAGCCGAACAGCTCGCGTGTGGGCCGACGCCAAGTTGCTCCCCCTCCTGTTGCTGCTGCGGCTGCTGCTCCTGCTCCTGCTCCGCATGCTGCTGCGGCTGCTGCTGCTGCCGCTGCTGCCGCGCCCGCTCCCTCGCCTCCCGCCGCTGCTGCCGGTAGGACGCAGGCAACCCCTCCTCGTCGCTGTCGCTCTCGCCTGCGCCAGATGGGATCGGCGCCAAGAGAGGCGGCCTTGCATCAACACCGGCAAGACGAGCGCTGCGTGGGCAGGCATCAAGGCAAGCGCTCGCCAGGCGGAGCGCCGCACCCTCCTTTGAGGGAACCCTGCGGCAAACTCACCTGGGGGCGCCGCGCGGAAGCGCATGGGGTCGTGCGGGGCCGCCGGCGCCGCGCGCGCCGCGGCAACCATCTGGTCAAAAGCGGCGCGGTCTACGGCGCGCCGCGCGTTGCGCTCCGCGAGTATCCGCTGCCGCTCGGCCTGCTCCGCTGCTGCACCGCCTGCGACGCGGGCCGCGGGGCGTGCAGTCGGTCCGGAACGCCCCCTCTCGCCAGCCCGCTGGAACGCAGGCAGTTTAGCACATGTTGTCTGGCATGTCAGAGGAGCGCACGAGGGCAGGCCAGACAGCTGGCCGAGCACCAAAAGCGGCGGGACCCGCC